AATGTCTTACACCATTGACCCCATTGGCATTTTTTGTTTCTTACATGTCCAGCTGTCATAAAAACAGATTAAATGTTAGAAAGTAAATCTACTCACATCAGCTTTACATAATTCTGAATTTAACTCATGTTAGATATTTGTCATTTGTACAGTAGGTGACCCAAAAAATTCAATGTTAAATTAATTTACATAAACGTAACTTCAAATAACTGCATATAACAAAGGAATTAGACAGCTGGGGTTAAAAAAAAAAAAGGCTGGATAGATAAAGTAGAAATAAAAAAAAAACTAACTTTGCTTTGCCAAGATAATAATATTTTTATTTAATTTATTTATTTCACATTTTATGTACTGAAATACCTCTTAGTTAGAATTTATAATGACCTTGGAATGATATGAGTTATGCCCATGCAGTTCACATTCACCAATATGGCTCCAAATATCAGCGCTCTGGGACATCAGTTGACATTTGTTCTGGTTTGAGCCTGTTTTAGACTTGGTTTGGTCCTGTTCTAGTCCTGGTTTAGTCCTGATCTAGTCTATATTAGCTCCAGGTTTAGTCCCAGTTTGATGTGATGTGTAACAGTGCACATCCCCGGTCTCGGGCTCCATTCAAACGCGGCGTCGTGAGCAGGGAGAGCCTCATATTTAATCAAAGTTGCCAAAAGCGGTTCTTGCGACACTTTTAGGAAGAAAAATGCATTAAATGACATCAGCAGCTGCATCAGATAGTAGAAGATTAGCGTGATGGGATAGGTAGCCCGCAGTCCTAAGACTCATCTGCATTGGAAAACACAGTGGCCGCCGGAGCAATACAAATGAGTGATGGGGTCAGGGGAGGAGTGCGAATAACAACAACATCGTTTAAATCTGTGGAGCAGAAAGTGAACGCATGTGTGACCAGCTGCTGTACGACCTTGGGCTGAGAGGATGAGAGAATGTTTCCCAATGTTAATCAGGGTCAATGGGCGTTGCGGGGGAAACAAAACAGGCTGTACATTTAGGGATGTCAAGATTAATTGAATAATTGTTGATTGTTTATGTCATATTGCTGTTTTTCAGATGACACCATAACATTCTATAGGCCTATATTATTTAATGCAGATGGGGTCAGCTAAAATGTACAGTATATATAGATGGGATACAGATATTTGTTGTAATTTAGAGAGTTCTTAGAGTTATAGATATGATCAAGTTCAACATTTGTATATATTGTGACAAAGTTCATGTAATCAATAGGAAAAACTGGCTCTTGTCCCCCATCTGGGAGTTTAGTATCATCACATCAAGAATCTAAAAACTACCAATAGCTCTTTCACATGGCGCCATAACATAGTTGAATATTATTAGATGGGAGTAAGCTAAAATGAAAACTGTTGCCTGTATTTTTGTTGACATATGGCAAGTTCTGGGTCTAGTCCAGGGGTGGGCAAACTTTCTGACTCGTGGGCCACAAAGGGTTCTAAAATTTGACAGAAGGGCCGGACCAGGAGCAGATGGATGGAGTTTTTGGTAATCCACCTCATAAGAGAAAAAAATAACATGGGATATGTAGAAAATATATCCCGTGTTATTGAAATATCCCATAATTGAAAATCATTACAAAGCATTACAAGAAAATATCTGTCTTTCAAGTCCCACGGTATTTACTATTTATTGGAATGACTTTTAAAACACTGAAAATGATTATTATTATTCAAGTTTGGTAGGCCGGATTAAAAAGATTAAAGGGCCACCCCTGGTCTAGTCACCAGCTGAAATGATCAGGTTCAACCATAGACTATATATATATAAATGTTCATAGCTAACCTGCAAGTTCCAAATAGAAAGTGAGCTAGGGCGTGCTTTCTGCCCCATCGATTCTGGCTCCAAATTACATTGAAAAACTGTCACCCTTCTCTCTGGATCTGCTGCCATTATTTGTTTTTTACCTGCTATACATGATCCTGGGATTTTCCTGTTCCTAATATGTAACTTGGCTCCAAATTCACCCCATAACCACTAGCCTTTTGAGCTTCATTTGACGTCGCACTCTCTTAGACAGCTTCTTTATACAATCTATGGGTTCAAGATTTATGGATTTTAGGGATGCACAAATCTGATAATGGTATTGCATATCTGCCAATATCCTGGTTGAATATATAAACTGCAATGTAATGATTATTTCCTGGTGTTAGTCACCCCAGGAAGTCTTGTAATGTTTGAACTTTTATTTATACAGATCTGTTTTATAGATAAATAACAGCTACATAGCACATTTGAATCAGCTGTGTCTTCTGTTATTTTTCTTTAAAGGAAATAAATGCTTTTTTCAGTCTCTCTGGGGTATTGCTTTAAATTAGATATCGGCAGATGCTTTAAACTAGTGGTAATATTAGTACGAAAAACCTGGATTGGTGCATACCTAATTTTCTTTAGACATTTCATAAGAAAATTAATTGGGAAATCTGGCTCTTCCCCTTCATTTGGGAGTATGACATCAAATTCTAAAATCTGAAAAACACCAATAACTATTCATTTTAAAAGCAGGAAATATTAAGTTAGTCTACCAAAAATGCCAAACTTAAAGTCTTTATTTGTAATTAGGTTGCTGTATTCTTACATAGCACTACTATATGGGACCAATGCTACTGCTGTCTGACAATGTGGCAGCTTTGAACAGGTTTAGCACAGGTGAGTCTGAACAGGCCAGGTGAGGCGCTGCCATCTACTGGTAAACAAAAAAAAAAAATAAATAAATAAATAAAATGGTCTGTCTGTATTGTTATTCTTTTCATTTTTATTTTATTTATGTCAGGTCTAAATCAGGTCTAACTTATGAAGAAACTATAGTTCTAACAGGTTTATAATAAGCAAAACTGGACTAAACAAAGCCTTAAACAAGTCTAAAGGAATAGAGTCACAAGTCAAGTATACAACAGAATAGGCCTACAACAGATCTATAATAGACCATGACTGTACAGAATCCTGTGTGCCCCAGAATCATTCTGGAAACCACAGTTTGAAAACCACTGGGCCACATTTCACTGACAAATTAAACTGTCCTAAAGACCAGAGGTGGGACCAAGTCATTGTTGCAAGTCTCAAGTAAGTCTCAAGTTTTTGACCTCAAGTCTGGGTCAAGTCCCAAGTCAAATACATGCAAGACCAAGCTGAGTCTTGAGTAACTAGCCCATAAGTCCAAGTCAAGTCCAAGTCGCCTGCTTTGAGCTTCCAGTAATTTCAAATCTTTTAACCAAAGTACCAAATACAGCTAAGATTTGTGGAATTTATATGAATTTTAAACAAGTGTGCTTAAAAGGTCATGGTATATTTGATTTGTAGAAATTATATTTTTTCCTTTTTTAAATGCCTTGACAAGATCTAAGTGTGAATCAATACATTCAGAATTGAAAGAATTAAGATTTAAAACGTGCCTAACAAATGTTATTTTGTCTGAAATGGATCATGTTTTTTTTTGTTTGTTTTTGTTTTACTGTATTGTTCTGTATATTACTGTTGTACATTTGATGATACCATCTTACAGTACTTCAGTTATATCCAAAGTAACAAACACAAAAGTAGGAGGGACATGTTCCAGTTTGTTCTTGTAAAATTAAGCACCACATGTATCTACTGTTAAGAGAAAAGTATTTTCTAAAAAACATATATTTTTAGGAGAAAATATCAAGTCATCTCAAGTCACGGGGCTCAAGTCCGAGTCAAGTCCCAAGTCTTAGTTAGTCCATTTTATCAAGTCAAGTCTTAAGTCCTAAAAATAGTGACTCAATTCTGACTCCAGTCCAAGTCACAATTTGCAAGTCCCCACCTCTGCTAAAGACCTGCACTAGTGAACAGGTGGAGCTGTAAAAATAAAGGTTACATAGTGTAGCTTTAAAGATCCATAAAATATTTAGTCTTGTACTGTTTAGGGGGGGGGGGGAACATTACAGCCATGACTAAAGATTTTTTTAAAGACTCCTAGTCAAAAGAGAGAGGCATTATTATTTACACTGCCACCTATTGGACAACTAATTAAATTGCAACCATTACCCATATTCTATAACTAGACTCTAAAACCAAACATGATAACTATAATGCTTTTTTTTTTTTGCATCTATAAAGGTGCACTATGTAACTTTTCCTGCAGAAGGTTTGCCACTTGTGGAGATTCTGTTGCTTTTGCCTGAAATATTCCACAGTGGTGCAGTCAGTTAGGCCAAGGTAAAGCCATTTTTAAAGGTATTTTTGAGCAGTAAAAACACTTGTAATTGAATGACTGCATTGTACATTCCAAGCAAAGCGATGTCAACCCCAGGAATGTTACACAGTATAATTTTTAAGTGCCCATTGTCTATTAGGCCTTTGCACTCTCACTAAATATAGAATAAATACATATATAGACCCCAGGTAGTGTAGCTGACCCTCAGGTACAACTAATGGTGATCTTAATAAATAAAAAAAACTAAATAATATGTCTTTTTTTAAAAAAAGAAAATGCATATATTATTGGATGAAGTTGCTTGCTTTAATGGTGTCTTTCTTCATGTTTATAAATTATAGATTGTGTTTTTAATGTTTTAATTTGTCTGTTTGAACAGGTGAATGACACACCATTTTTCCAATGTGTTTTTTAATACTGCAAATGGCAACTATACAAAATAAACTGAACTGAACTGAACATACATTGTCCTTTTGCAGAAGACCAACAAATTATAACGAGACAGTAAAAATGTGCCTATGCATGGGTCTTACTTCCTTATTTATTGAGCTGTTCCTGTCCCTCTAAATTGCACAAGATTCACTACCCAGTTTTACTATATTTAGGTCATTTCAAGTTCATTTCACACTATAAAATGTTTGGATGCACTTCCATCCAGACTGCAGACTGTCCACGGGCAAGGAAGACACGGTGCGCCTGTTTTATGTACACACTCCTCCGAAAAACTCCACGGCTGTACAAACACTCCCCAATATTTGTGACCCCGCCCAGCTGAACTCACCGGGTAAAATCTACAGACGTCCAAACAGCCTGTGTATGTCACGTGACCGGGAAGAAGGGAGGGGAGGAAGAAAAGGAGAAAAAGACCGAAAGAACACGGATCAAAATAAGACCAAAGACGTCGCCAAGGGTGAGGCTGTATTATGTGTAGATTTGGATAATTTAGATATTTAGCACCAAAGTAGCTTGTCAGACTGGCGTTTAACCTTATGTCATTGTTCATATAAGATAACGCTGTTAGCTTGTGGCTTTTGGAAACTTAAAATGCTGATGGAGGCACATTTCTCCAAAGCAACGAGATGCGTAAAACCTATGGCACATTGGATAGAAGACGCACGCAACCTTTTAGTTATGGCTGTTTGGATGGGAAAAGGACGCTCCAAAGCTCGTGATCAAAATATTTAAGATACAATTATGCATAAGTGAAAAATTAACCAACATATGTTCCTGTATGACTTCAATTGTGTGTATTTTTTTCCTCAGGCAGATGCTGGAGAAGCAATCAAGACGAAAAAGATTGAAAGTGAAGACATGAGGGACCAGCGTTATGGGAGGTAAGAAAAAATACACTTAATATAGTCAGCCCAGACAATGGTAATAGTATTTATTTAGCCTACTTTTTGGGAAAAATATTGTCAACATTAGAGGTAACAAGTACAAGCAGTGCAATTAGAATATCACGTTTTTAACCAATAAATTGTAATTATCAATACAAACTAATACGTGAGAATAAAAAGCTGGGAGTGCTCGCCTGGATCACAGATAAGTCTTTGTAGGGCAGGTATTTAATAGACAAATAAAGGGTGGTGTATATAACTAATTCATGTATACAAAGCAAACTTCAAAAACAGACTGCTTTGGACTTTCTGCTTTTTTGTCTACAAAATAATACTTAATTTTAAAAGTATTACCGTGTGGTCTTATACCGGTTCTGATATAGATCAACAACATATTAAAACGATTAATAAAAGGTCAAATATTGTCTGTTGGTATTTCTGACAATCCTGCTTCTTAAAGCATTTTGCTTGTTTACAAAGCATTGGTCTGGATCCTAGGCTATAGCCACGCATGTGACTGAGCAGCACCTAATCCAATAGGCTTATGACTGTTCCTCTGTGCTCATTCAGTTACTCCATATATTTACTTCTAGGACAAATCATTCTTCTTCTTTCACAATATGTTACTTATAAACTTTAACAGATGGAAATTCTTAATGTTATTGGTTTAGGCCTAATTAATTGACCTAAACCCTGAAAAGTCCTTAATTCTTTTTAATAAGACTGAAGGAAATTAGGTTTGTAATAAACAAATAACCCATTGACCTTGTAATTCCAAATCTGAGATAAGCAGAGTTTGTTTTAGGAAACAACATTAACAGTGCTAAGGGCTAAAGGAACCAAAATGTTTGCTGGTTAAAGATAGCAGATGGTGCATTTCTTATTTCCACAGATAAATAAAGCCATTGTGGAAAGAGGAAGAAGAGTCAGGATGAAGCTGAATGAGCGCAGTGTGGCTCACTATGCCACGTGTGACTCTCCTCCAGACAAAACAGGCTTCTTGTTCAAAAAAGGTGAGCGTAACACGGCGTATCACCGCCGCTGGTTTGTGCTGAAAGGAAACATGCTGTTCTACTTTGAGGAGCGGGACAGCAGAGAGCCTATAGGGGTCATTGTCCTGGAGGGCTGCACCGTGGAGCTGTGTGAGTCTGCAGAGGAATTCGCCTTTGCCATAAAATTTGACTGTGCCAAAGCTCGGATCTACAAGATGGCTGCGGAGAACCAGGTTGCCATGGAGTCATGGGTGAAGGCCTTGTCCAGGGCCAGCTTTGACTACATGCGACTGGTGGTAAAGGAGCTGGAGAGGCAGCTGGAAGAGGTCCAGGAGGCCCAGGGGGGCGTGGTCTGTAAACCCAAGTCCGTCAGGAGGAACCACGCCATGCGCTCCAGGTCAGGGGCCTCCTCTTCATCCTCCTCCACCTCGTCCCTGTCCTCTGCCTCCAGTGCCCCAATCATGTCCGCTCCAAAGAGTGCCCAGGATGACTCTGCCCCAAAGAGTGCCCAGGACGAGCCCCCGTCTAGGGAGAATGGCGTGGCCTGGAGCAGAGCTCCTGTTGCTGTGTCTAACGGGTCCATAGAGGGGGCATCGTCCTGTGCGTCCTGGGACAGCAGTGAGGACTCTGGGATTCACATGAGTGCTGGAGCGGAAGGTGTGAGAGCGCCCCCTGTGCCTCCTCGGAGAAGAGGCGCTTCATTGGAGAGCCCCTTTTCTCCGGGGACCGGCTGCTTCTCAAAACTCCATGAGTGGTACGGCAAAGAGGTGCAGGAACTGAGGGCTGAGTGGCTGGAGAGCCAATAACTGTCACTTTAATTTACCTTTGATACTGTCATTCCAACACAAACATTCTGTCTCTGAACCTCAGTGAGAAAGGGAATCATCTATGGGACTATTGTGCCAATTATACCTTTTTTCTTTGTTACAAAGAATCATGTGAACATGTGTCTTTACCAAGTATATGATTAAGTGTTAAAAGGAGCAAAAGCCAAAAAATCATAATGAGTCACTGTCACATTCCCAACTTTTTATTAGTATTTTAGCCTTATTTGTTTTTCACGTTAATCTGCATGAGATGACACAATCAGACCAATCGTTAATTTTTTAAGGTTTTATTTGTCTTGTGGAAATCCAAAACAATTCTGTTAGACCACACTGGATTAACACTTAAACATAAAAATGATATAGATGACTGACCACCCCAGTTTTGGCATTTACGAATACTTCTCTCGTATCTTAGTTTGACTTTTTATGTTTTGTATGCATTTCTACTTTTATACTATTCCAACGTTACTTTAAAAGCGCACTACGTAACTTTTCTAGTGGAGGGTCAGCTAGGTGCTTGTCTCCATGTTACTGCTTTGCCGGGAATGACTAAGTTAAAGACCAAGTTAAAGGCCAAATATACGGAGAGGCAAGAAGGTATTTTGAGCAATAAAAACAGAGAAATTAAACTGATGGACAATGGATACGTTTATTGACATATGGTGGAACATTCCCCAATTTCCAGGTTGTGGATAATCCACAAGAAAAGTTACATATGAATCCATAACATTATGATTATGGTGCCAATATTCATTGAGGAAAGCAGAAAGGAAGCTGTAATGTGCTTAAAAAACATAAGAAACAACTGTTGCTGATGTGAGAATAGGACACATTTGAACTTGCTCAGAGTTAAAAGTAAGGCTGTAAAATATACCAGAATTATAATTTGATTAGTTACAATTATCAAAATGCAAACACTGCAGTTATGTAGGTAATGCAATATACATGCCTACAATTTATACATCTACAAACATGCTCTGAAATGCTTGGGATTCCTGTGTTAGTTTAGCAGTTATATATACACATATTTCCATTTTCTCTTAAAAGTTATTGCTCTTGGAGTTGTTTACTCAGAACAAAATCTTACTTTTTAAAGGGCCCATATTATGCTAGTTTCTGATTTATGTGATAATGTAATTTCCTCATGACAAACATTCCTGGAGTTGTATTTCGTTTCGGTGCATATTTTAAAAGCACAAATCCTGCATATTTAGGCTGAGTCCTTCTCCTTCACTGTGTTTTTAAACTCCATACACCTTCACTAGAAACATTTGGATAATTTCAGACCTGGAATTACCAATCTCTAGTGAACTAATGGTAAAAGGAGCTGTGACCTTGAAAACTACTGCTTCATGACATCACAAAATGGAACAGAGCATTTTGAGCTTTGGAGATGTAGGCAAACTAATATTAATAGTGAATCAAATGTGTGAATGAAACAAAATACAACTGCAGGTATGTTTTTTTCATGAGCCCAAAGCATTATAACGTGTATTTTGTGTAATATTGTACCTTTAAACATTAATTAACATGAACTTAATCACAATTTGTTTTGTTATTCCCAAATTGTGCAGCCTGAGATGAAAGCAACCAACCCCCTTATGTAGAGGAACGCGTCTGCTCTAAGTGCAACTGCCAACCCCCATGCATTCCTGGACACTTGGCAGCGGAGCTTGTGTAATCGCTAATGCCCGAGAATGGTCCAAAGAACCCAGGGGACTGTGGTGGGAGCGCAGTGTCTTGCCCTGAGGTACTTATCGAGGTATTTTTAGCACCTGTTAGCCGTCAGCCAGATGATGCTTTGTCATAGAGCACTTTAGTTCTCCATTCTCACTCAAGATCCCCCACCCTGTAACTTGTAGCATTTGACACCTATTTTGCTCCTTTTTTCAGATAGACAGATACTTTCTTGATCCCAAAGGAAATTCAGATTTTTAAGTTTTTTTTAATCACATTGCTGACTGTAGTTTAAAATTCATACAGTCTGTGGTTTCAGAATGATGAAAAGTTTGGACCTTTTTCGTAGCAATTAACAATTCAAAACAAAATATTATATCTTTTGAATAGTCAACTCTCCCCGAAAATAGCACCATGCAACAGGAAGCTGAAAACTATGAATAGGCAATATTCTGAGTACTTTTTACCATTGAAAACAAGAGAATTAGTTTTGAATTGTTCATTTCTATGGCAGTGTTTATTTAAACCATGGGTAGGGATGTGTGATGTGGCAAAATTATTATTTTTAGTCTGATACTCATTTACAGTTTCCTCTTTTAGGTGTCATTTTAAGTACTTTCCCCCCATTCAAAAGCTGTAATATTTTATTTGTAAATTGTTAATTGCTATGGCAACGGTTCAGATTTTTGATCATTCTGAAACCCATGGATAGTTTGATATTTATACATTTAAACTTCCTGTTTATAGGCGACATTTTGGGTACTTTTTCAGTTCAAATGATATAATCTTTGGATTTAAAATTAGAATCTCTATGGCAACAGTGTTAATTAAAATTTTAATCGCACTGAAATCCACAGATATGGATGTGTGATATTGCCAAAAACTAAAGTTGTTTTACTCTTATAATGACTACTGATATTATTAGATGATATGTTTGCAATCCATCCCAAATGTCCTTAAATGTGCCAGTATTGTTTACTGACATACATACTTGATATTCTAATATTTTATACCTATAAAACTACTAGGGAACCACGATACCGATACTGAAAAATTGGATCAAATATCGGTTCCATGATGTCTGTTCAGTCGATATCCTGGTTGGGCCTTTAATTGGATGCAATAAGACTATTTACAGTTAAATTTTTTGTAGAATTTCTCATAATGTTTTTTTCTTTCATTTATACAAAGCTGCAAAACATAATTGGATCTCTTCGTTGATAAGTTAACTGTGTTTAAGGAAATACATTTTCTATCCCTACACTGGTATTGCTCAACATCGGGTACTGGCAGATACTTGAAAATCAAGGTATTGTATCGGAAATGAAAAAGTTGGATTGTTGCATTCCTAAAAACTACAATTTTATGATTTCATTGCAGACGATGCTTTGCCCTCTTTTAGCTTGTTACACGAGAAAACCAAAACAATTTGGAAACTTCACAATTTGGACTTTTGGGTTACTGTTTGTTTTTACATTCTTGCATTTCTCTTAATGTTGTTTTAAAAGGTTCACATGTAGCCAATATTTTACTGTGCCTTTTAATTTCTCTATGCACTTTTACTGTTTATTTTTTACTAATGTATTATGTGTTTTTCTCACTCCTTTTGACAATGGCTCAGTGTCTTCAGTCACATTGGCGCACAGCACTACAATTACTGTCAATCATTTTACTGTTTCAAAAGAGAATGTAAAAAACTTGGTACAGAATTCCTTAAAGGGACACTATGTAAGTTTATATGAGTTGGCATGACTTAGCAATCACCATGGAGACAATGTGACTCGACCAAACTATCTTGTTTTGGAAATAAGAATGTCTGTAATTACATAAATGGAAGATAATCAAGTTTATACCATACTGTGATAACATGTGAATGAGACAAGCAGGTGACAGACCCCCCATGAGAAAAGTTACATAGTGTACCTTTAGTTTAAACACCACGGCTGCAGCAGAGTTTAGTTGATGACTCTTAAGTTCTCAATGACAAATATGAGCCAAGAGAAAATGAAAGACATTCCTTTTGATAAACTGCAGTGTTAATTACTACCATGGTACTGTGTCATTAAACAATCATATGTACTAATGTTTAATATTCTCAATAAACCACATCTATAATTCTTGTTTGTGGGTGTCAGTGGTGGAATGTAACAAAGTAAAAGTACTGTACTTTACCGTATGTTAAAGGGTCACATTTTTATATACCTTAAATAGACTTTAAAGGGGATACTTTCTACTTTTACTTCACTACATTTGAGAGTAGGCGTCTGCACTTCCTACTCCACTACATTTTTTAACTGGACTGAAAAGCGAAAGTATTTTTTTATTATAGTTTCAGACCTGCAGAAAAGTCTGAGGGATTTATTTTAACACATCCATAGTTCGACCAAACAAAAACATACAAATAAAAATAGCTAGAACCCCCCCCACAATGTAGTAATTTCTGTTGAACAAAATTCACAACAAATCTTATCATGTCATTACATTTGAGGCTTTATTAGATCTCAAAATCTGTGCAAAATACTTAAACTTTTTACACTTTAAGTACATTTTTAAACAGGTACTTTTAATACTTTTCCTAAGTAGATTTTTCATGTGGGTTGCCAGGTTTGCTTTTGGACAATGTCTAATGTCAGTTAATGGATTTAAAAGTATATCTAATGCAGTAATTTGGCATTTTGAGTGTCCTGACAGTGCATTGTTCTGAACCAAAAAAGACACAAAAATGACTATTACAGACATCATTTACACTTTTTTTTTCTGAAATTGGTGTAATTTAAAAACCTTTTAGTTGATGGTGGATGATCTTTTTTTAAAACAAAAGTGTGACGCAAATCAAAAAAGGTTAAAAAACACTGGTCTAATAATATTTCCTTGGCACTTAAATGATCTTCCTGTTCTTTTGTGCATGTGTTGTACAACGAGTGTTATGAGGCCAACAGGTCAGCAGGTGGCGCTGTGCAACAATTTTACAGCGCGTTCCTCGGCGTCGGACGTCACGCACGGATCCTGGAAAGAGCTGCACCTGGCTGAACAGGTAAGGCAGGAAACTAATCATAAAGTAAAGAATTTAATTAAGATCTACAATTAAGATGCCACAAGACAGACTTAGTGTTAATGCCCACTGGAAAAGGCAAAGAGAAGGAATAAACATGTTTATTAGATTTTCAATATCAAAGTGGCTTGTTGGCGGATTTTATTTTATTTTTTTCATTTTTAAAATATTGGTTGAATAGTTTAACGATATGACCCCCTGACACACATGTTCTTTTTTATGGTCTAAATTATAGGCCATAGGATCCGTGCACTTTCATGGCTATAGACAGGACAAAATTAGGCTTCCATTCGTCCAAAATTTAAAGCCATCTAAATGATACGATTTAACATTAATCTCGTAAAATTCACAAACTTAAAAAACAAACAAACAATGTACTTCCTGTATTTCAGTATAAATTATAGTTTTGACTTCAAAATAACGCCCACCATAACCATCACTTAAACTTGGTTTATACTAAGCTTTTATGGTGGTGTGTTGCTTTTAGTTTTTTTTTTTTTTTTTTTTTTTTTTTTTTAAAGTCTCAGCCATCTAGCGTTATGTTTACGGTCTCAGCTATAGACTGTAGGCTACATGCACTTTCGCGGACACAGAAAGAACAAAATTAGCCTACTCATCAAAAATGTAAAGGCATCTAAACTAGATGATTTAACGCTAATGCCGTAAAATACACAAACCTTTTAAAAAAAATCTATCGCCTGTGTTTCAATATAAATTATAGTTTTGACTACAAAATAACGGGCAATTATACACCATCACTATAAAACTAATTGGTGTACACAAAGTTTTTTTGTGGTGGCGTGTTAAAACCTCAAATATAGCTCTCTCTGTAATAATGCTTTTATCTTGAAACGACACACGCTTGTGGCTGCGCTCTTTACGCACAGAGCTGTCCGGAGAGCGCGCGTAAACTTTTTTAACAGCGGAAATGAGGAGTCGCCACTTTTTCCGCGTCAAGTTCGTGTCAGACTTTTTTTGTTTTTTTCATTTCCTTGTTTTTTTTTACAGAGGGGAAAGAGGCGTGCGCTCACCATGAGAGAGAAAGCAGAGAGCTCTCCTCGCCTGCCGCTGGATCCTCTCCGCTCCTGTCCAGTTTTTGGTTGTTCCTTTTCGTCGTTTTGACTCAAAGTGGATGCAAAAACGCCACATTTCCGTTATGCGAAGTCCAACTGGTTGGTTAGTCGAGCTGCGGTGGGTGCCCGACCGAGATAACGGAGAACGTGAGTATGTTATGATGTGTGCAGAACTCGGCGTTTCATTGTGAAAGGTTATTACCGTGTACTAACCACACTCTTCTAATGGGAAGAGAACCACAGTGCAGCGTTGTCCCAAAGTGGCAATGCGCAGCGACAGCAAAACTTATCGGCCCAAACTTTTCTTTTCTTCGCCCTTTATCTTCTCAACAAAAGTGGCTGTGTGAAATTTAAAGGGCCCGGGCACGCATTACAGCAAGCACAGCGCAAATGCACGTATTTTTTAAGCTGGAAAATGGTTTTGCTGTGTTAAAATTCCCAACATCGTCTGCAGAATGTTTGAACAGTGCGCTGCGGAGGATACTTTGAATACGAGGCTATAGGGACTCAACTGCATGCACTACTTTGCCCTTTTAATATGTTGTTTTACGCATATGGACATATTGTGCATTGTGTCTTTAGATGTCTGATAGGACAAGATAACTTACTTTTCTTGCATTGACCTGTTTGTAAAGATAGTTTGAAACAGAGAAGATACTGGCTTTAGTACAAACCACCCAAGCCCCCAAAGCACAATAAAAATAATTATATAAGTAAAATTATTGGGACATAAAGGTGCAAAATGTAACATTTAAGGTGGAGGGTCCGCTTCTCTACTCCCTGGAGAAGTGATTTCTTTGCATGGAACATTCCACAGTAGGGCATTAAACATCTCTCTTGCTTTTGTTCAATTACAGCTGTTTTATAGCTCAAAAATATCTGAAAACATGTGCAGACTTGCTTCCACATTGATCTGACCATTAAATTGTCTCCTGTGTGATTACCAAATTTATTTCCATACTGTAGAATAATCAAGGCGAAACAGTAATATCTCCATGGAGACAAAAAGGTCGCGGACCCTCAACCAGAAAGGCTACACAGTGGACCTTTTAGTAACAGTGTTTGGATAATTAAAAATATGAAGTTTCTGAATCAAATGTTTGCCTCTTTACAAGGAAGCCAACTCAAACTAGTTCCCACTTCTTCTGTTGTCTGCTAAGTAATATGTCTGTTAAGTTTTGATATAAGTCAGTTTTATTTTTATTATGATTTTTTTTTTTTTTTATGCGAAGTATTGCATGCCTTGGGTTCAGTCTGCTTACTTCTCATGACTGCTGCATGGAGAATAGAAACTAGTGTGTGCAACAACTGGCTCGCTGTTGTCTTCCTGTTCAAATCTAGGCCCATTTGACTCAGTTTTGTGAAAGGGCAGTGAAGCATCCTCATGTCGTCGTGGTAATTGCTGAATTAAGTTGGCCAATATAGAATAACAAGCTCCTTTTTTTTTTTTAATAGCTGTGCATTGTTGTAACTCGGCTCAGAAATGACAGTTACTCAGAGGATGTTTATCTTAACTAACCTACATCCCGAATAATGAGTTTGAAAATGACAAATATGCATGTGTCTACAGGTATAATGTATTTAGATTGAAAGATATGTTTGGCCCTAGGGCTGCAACTGTAGACTGTAACCTTCTAGTTGTCACATTCCAAATAGGAAATGTTCACGGGGGACTTCTGTCTCCATCGACACTGAAAATTGTCACCCCTCTCTGTGTAACTACTGCAGGGAGTTTCGTCATTTTGGTCTTAAAATGTTTGCATTAACTCGCTCTACGTGATCGTGGTGTTTTTATTTTCCTTTTATATTATTTTCTTTAGATAAATTCCTTTTTCTAATGTGGAACTGGCTCCAAATTTGCTCCGATAACTGCCACCATTGTCAGCTTCATTTGACTGCAGCCAAATGCTATGGATGAGGTCACTCGCTGTATAAAGTCTATGGTTGCAAATAGAGATCAAAAAAGATGCTATAGTTGACATTTTATGCAAAAATGTTATGAAAGGAAATAATATGCACGACAAATTTAGGGTCCCCAGTGCCTCCATTGTAGTGTGGGAAAGCTGCATGTACTTCTAGGTAGTTCTAATACAGGCTAGTACCAGCACAGAGCCTGCGCACCCTGTTTGGCTGTGATTCACTTTGAGGACAGATAAGACCAATGCATTTCTCAGAACAGGGTTAAAACCAGGGCACCGCAATATTAGAAAAAAAAAAAAAAACTGCTCTCATTATGCAACTTCAGAAATTACACAGCAAGCAGTGATACCAGAGACTTATTGACTCTATGGATGAATTGTTCACTGGTAGTATAGTTTTGACTGATTATCTAGATCAGGGTTCTCCAACCGTTTCCTCCTGTGAGCCACTTTTACGAAGCGAAAATTGCAAAGAGCTACAGTTAGTGCTCAGCGAAATTGAGTCTATATAAGCGTTAGGCGGGGTACAGTTGGATGCCTTTAAACAGAAACCATTTTACATATATGCACACAGTTAGCTATCAAAAGTTTACAGTTACAGTGGTAAATAGTTTTATGTTATGGGTATGAATTTTCAGCTTAATGTTATTCCTAAATCCTTTGGGGAGCTATTGGAGAGAGGGTGTTTGGTAGAAGATACTGGTAGCAGACCCCAGATCTACTCAGTGTTTTTTTGACTATGATATGCTTGTGGTGGGTCTGCCAAAATATGCTTGTCTCCATGGAGAAACTGAATGCTATAGTGTGGAATATTCCAGGCAGAGAAACAAGCAGATGGTGAGCTCACTACGGGAACTTTACCTAATATTTGCTTTTCCAAAGAAGCTTTTGAGTGTTATATTAAAGCCAGACATACTAAAATAAAAGTATGTTGTTGTTTTTTTTTTTTTTTTTTTTTTTTTTCATTTTGTTTGTTTATTCCACTGAAAAATTAAGAAATACAGTCGTTACTGTGAGTGGGCTTGCATCTCCTCAAACTCTTATTTTGCCTGGAGGAGGGCCTCA